ATGGAAAACTATTTAAATGTGCCCAGAAGTAAAAACCAATCATAAAAAGTTGAAAACCACTTGGTTAGTTCGGACGCCAAAAACCAACGACGAAAACCGAATGCCGAACGCCGGTTTCTGAAACCCGAACACCGGATGGCTTGATTTTTGGTTTGGGCGAACACCAAGTGTTTTTAATGTTTTAAACATGTTTGAAAAACATTTTTATGATGTGTGAAATGCAATGAAAAGAATTTTAGCCTAAAGAGCCAAGGTGTAAAGGTTGGGTCGGTCTTGATCACAATTATGACCGACTCAACAACACTAAGACTACGGTCTTCGTTCTTGGTCTTCTTTTGGGTCTTGTTATCTTGCTTTCTTCTTATATTTATTTCCCGCCTTGTATATTCAACAACTTGTCTCGTTCACGGCGGTTTGGCATTATCAAAACCTGTCATAAAAACGAACACGGCTTTAGTACGAAAACACGATAAACCCGTGTTTCAACAATTTCCCCCTTTTTGATAATGGCAAACAAGACGGGATTATGCATAGGAGGATTGATTTGAGACTTGAAAAGTGTTCCCCCAGGTGTCCCCCCTTAATAAATGCAATTTTCTTTTCAACAAAGTTTATGTGTTGAATAAGAGTTAGTTTTAGAAAAAGTTCCCCCTCAATGTATGCATAACCTTTATATCTTCCCCCTTTTGACATTAACAAAAAGAATTAAAAGTAAACTTTTATTCATTAAAAGGAAAATGCAGAATACAACGGATAAAAATACAATCATATTTAATAACGAGAGAATAAAGAAGATGTCGTGGCATCGTTGTTGGCCTTCTTCTTTGAAGCCTCGGTTTTGGTCCTTGACTTTCCTCTGGCCATTGTTGAAGCGTTTAGAAAGTGAGTAGAAAACAAGGCTGCCTTCCCAGCGATGGTAGAACTCACCCATCGATGGGAAGGTGGCTACTGGAAATCCGAGAAGACGCTTAAAAAAATAGTGTCAAACACCCAGCGATGGGAGAAAGTTTCCATCGATGGGTGGGGAGGTTCTGAAAAAATTTTTGAAACTGAAATCATTCACCCAGCGATGGGATAAAAGACCCATCGATGGGTAGGGTGTTTCTTGAAAAAAAAATTTCGACAAAAGTCCTTCACCCAGCGATGGAATGAAATACCCATCGATGGGTAAGATATTTCTGGAAATCCGTTAAAAGGTTTTTAAAAAATAGAGTCAATTACCCATCGATGGGAAGAAGCACCCATCGATGGGAAGAGGGGTTCTGAAAAAAAGAAAACTTCCCTCCCAGCAATGGTATTGCCCACACATCGCTGGTTCCCCCTGATTTCCAGAATTCTTCACTTTGAACCGTCCCTGCAAAAAAGAATAACACTTTGGTACCCAAAGCATGTCTATGGGTCCTTGGGGGTTAGTTGACCTTTATTGCCCACACACACCCAAAATTCGCACACACACACACACACACAATTAAATGATTGTTTAGGAGTTACCTTGGCCAACCCATTGTCTAGTGGTTGGCGAGTTCCAGTCTACCTGAACGGAGTGCCGATATCTCGGTGTGGTCTGTGTTGGTTCCGGTAACGGAATGTGGACTTTCTTCTTTTCGTCAAAGTAGAAGAAATAATACGGTTTCTTTTGTGCACTATTCTGTGGAGATTGTTTATGATTCGAATATCCTTTTCCAAAGGATTTCTTTTCGTCAGCACTAAATATGGTGTGTGTTTCATTAAAGGTCAAGTGCCTATGTCTAGTGAAACACACGGGAGCTATATGTCCTACCCTATTGCAATAATGGCATACTACATTTGGGTTGAACATATGCCTAGGTTGGTAATAGCTAGGGGGTCTAACCATATTCATCCTATTTTGAGAAAATATTGGTTTTTGGGTATTTTGAAGATTCTCTCTTCTAGGTGTTCTAGCATTATTTTGTCTATTTGAAAAATTATTTGTGTCCATAAAATCATTTTGATAATTCCTCCTAGGTTGCCTAGAGTGCTC